CAGCTTTCTTTTCTCAAATGCACATGACCGCTCTGTCTCCAGGCTTCTGCGTCTCCCTCTTCCTACCCCAATGTGTTCTCCCTTTTGCCTGGCTGATGACTGGTCCACTCTTCAGGTCTTAGTTTGGATGGCATTACAACATGGGCTTTTATCCTGACTCATAAGATTAGGTACCTGTGGAACACACACCACTATTTCACACTGTCTATTTCTATTTCTCTGTCTTCTACTCTACTGTAAGAAGAGACCACTAACATTTTATTCGTTGTTATATAACCCTGCTTGTGTGCTCAACAACCATTTGGATGATTAATGGCAATCACAGACCAAGTATTGTGCCAGGTGTCAAAGAAATAGATGATCAAAAGCAAAAAAAAAAAAAAAACTTTAATGATCACTCGACTTAGAATTGCCATTTTAGTAATATAATATTCTGCCTCCCCTATCGTATTAGATTGAAATTAGTCTAAAAATTTCACAAGCACATTGTGAAGCACACAGCAGAGGCATTATTATTTCCATCTTATAGATAAGCTGAGAATCTCCCCACTACTGGAAGCAAATCAGGACTTAAATGTAATGTTTCTGTACACACATACTCAAATTTCACGATGACTAGAATCTCTCAATAAGAGTACAAGTCAACAAGCTACAAATTCCACTTCAAGACCTAGTAAATCTCAGGTTTCATTTAATTCAGCAACTTCAATTCTCTAGTACCTTCACTAGGAACAGAAATAGTAATATCTGGAAATATGTCATAATTTTTTCATAGCAAGTGTTTTCTAAAATTGTTTTGACCTAAATTAGTATTCAGTGTAATTATCTGAGATCATGCCAATTTCTGACTGCAATGAGTATTCTAAAAAAAAAAATTTAAAAAAAAGTATTCTAGACACAGTGAAAGTGTCTGCCTTAGTCTAGATTTCATGCATACCAAATAGAATGCACCAAATAGAATACATCAAGTAGAGCTTACTTGCCTGACAGAAAATAAGTGCACAAGATTGAAAGCTCCACAGTGCTGCATACCACAGTACCACTGAACATTGTATTTTCAAAGTAAATTGAACAGCTATAAAAATATCTGCGTTAGGTCTTCTATTTAAATAAAATCACCCAATGTCTTTGAAAACAGCCACTCTCACCCAGGGTACCACTATTAGGATGTAGGATGTGCCACAAGAAATGTGTATATGTAAAGAACCAAAATTCTAAGAATGATTTCCTTGTTTAAAAAGTTTTACAAATGTCACTCACTTGCATTCCAATATACTTGCATGAGTGGGAGAGGGTGAAGCTACAACGAGTGAGCAGGAAAGTATAATCCTGTATAACAAGTGGGCATTATCCATCCTGTGTGCCAGCTGTAAATTTTGAGATTTGCTGTTGTAAGTATGCCTTCTAAATATATAATAACAAATATAGGACCTCAAATTAGTACTTTGAAAAAGAATTTTAGTAAAGACTACAAGTCACAGAGGCCTGGGTTTAAATGCCAGCCTTCCTCATCACTTGGGAGTGCACTTGGGAAAGGGACCTAAGCTGTCTGGGCCTTCCTTTCCTAATACTAGTTAGGAATTAACCTACACCTTGCAGAGCTGTCATTAAAACTAACTTAATGTCTATAAAAAACTTTGCTTCCGAGTGGTTCAGTTGGTTAAGAGCTCACTCAAGAGTGCAAGCCCTGAGCAACAGGGTCACCGGTTTGATTCCCGGCTCGAGCTGAGTTGCTGCTGAGCTGCCAACAGGAGGCAGGATGGCTCAGCTAAAAAAATTAAAAAATAAAATAATTAAGAGCCAAGACCTAGTCCTATCACTTAGTAGCTGTGTCATTTTAGTTTAACCTCAGTTTCCTAGTCTGCAAAATGGGAATATTAATACCTACCTAAAAAGGTTGTTATAAAAATTAAATGTCTTAGAAAAAACTGCCAGGCAAGTAGTAAAAACTACGTGTTAGTAACTATTAACATCATCAGTAGTATCACCACTGAAATATTAAGTAACCATTGTTACATTATTGGATTATGCCTTCCATTTCTGCTATATAATATATTCCTCGAAAAAGTTAACCTAATTTAATGAACTGATCATAATATAGGATGAGCTCACACAACCAAGAACTTTTATGATGATTTTTAGAAACTTTAAATGCACAAGGAATTATCCTAACTATTGTTCATGAACGCTGACAAGATACATACATCAAATATCCATTCTAAGAACAAATCCATTCAATGAGCTAAAGCATAACACAAAAAGACATGTCTATTGTACTTTCTCCCCAAAGCTCTCAAAGCAGTTTAAATAATCAATGAACAACCCTCCAAATATACAAGCTACTTGAGAAAACTGCTGCTGAGAGCAATGAACAACTTCCTCCAAAACTTTTGCCACATAATTACAAAGTGATGTAATAGTAAAAAACTCTGACCTTGCCATTCAATTATTCAAAACGTTTATTAAGTATCCACTGTGTAACAGACAGGCACTGGGCTAAACTCTGGTGTAGTAACTGAAAAGGAGAGAGATCAAAAATAATAATGGGCATGCCACTAACAATAAAATTAGTATGTCCAAATATTATCATTTTGTTTTCCTTCAACAGTCAAAGAGCAAATTACAGGTTCTAGCAGCCGAGCGCATCAATGCTTAATGAGTTAAGTAACCTCCCACAAATGGTAGTCCAGTATTTTCCCCAAGGAGACTAGGAGTAAAATCAAAGAAGCATTCCTCTTGACTCTTCAATTACTTACTAAGTAAAGGTAAATGACCATTTCAAATATGCGCCAAATAATCTTAAGAGCGATGCTACTTAACATATACTTTTTGATCCATTCTGGGGGGAAAGTTTGGAGAAATGAATTTTAAGTTTGATGATGTTAAATGTCACCTGTAATCTGTCAGAAGTAAACTGCATTCACTTATTTTACTCAGCACCTGCAATATATTTTTGCTGGGGCGACTAGAATTAGCTTATTAATCATGCCTGCCTTTGATCAACCACCTTTTTAGGAGAGAAAAATCTAGCCTCTGTTCAATTATCAAGTAATCCAGAGTTCATACTACGTAGCTTACATTTTACAAAGCAAGAATTTCCTCTGAGGCAGCTACATAACTATTAAAGATTTAAGGAATTTTAAAAATATATTATCTAGCAAAACTGCTCGGCTAAAACAATGAAACCCTGACTCTGAGTTAAGAAATCGTACTGCTAGCGTGGTCATCCAAAACCTGAACGGGGACTAACAACAGCCAAGTGTCTTTTTAACACCTAGCTCCCCAGAAGAAAGGGCTGTTGGAAAATGCTATTACTATTGCTAACAATTGTATCATATTGATATGTAGGTAGATGTACTTCAGGGCTAAGAACCTTACTTGAAGTTCATTATTATAGACTAAGAATGTCACATTAAAAAAAAAATAAATGAAAGTGCTATCACCTCATTTTATGAACGCCAAGCAGGCAATTTCAGTTAACTGCAACACTTTACAAACAGGCTTTCCAATAAGCCCCAATTATCAAGTTGTGCTAGACACAAAGTTTCTGTTTTTATCATTAAATACAATTAAAGAATTAAAAGGATCAGTGTATTTTTGTTGAGATACATTAGTCAAAAGTGATTTGCAGTAAGTCCCCAAACACCCAAGCGATTGAAAAATCGTTTAGCTTATCTACCCCATTCCTCTGGAATGTCAGACAAGCTACAAAACCTAGGAACACAAAATTAACTGATACCTTTTCCGCATAAAGACTAAGGAGTAAAAGGACAGCAAACGCAATACATTTACGGCGGCGAGGGGGAATGTAAACAAATTCCAAAAAAATCTTTGCTGTATCCAGAACGGCACTTCGTGGTACTGCAACGATTCAGGCATGTCATCAGTATTCCGCACGCCAGGGGACACGAACTACTGCTGCTGGCGGGCGAGAGACGAGAACAAGTCTCACCCACAAACAGTATTAACAGGTAATGTTGCAAACCAGGCAGGGAACGGCACGAGGAGGAATGCGGAGGAGAGAGAGGAACAATCTTCTGCCGAATTCCACGTTCAGAGAAAATGAATCCACCACAGATCCTCCTCCAGGAAAAAAGACAAGACACGGCACAGAATAGCCATCCATCTCTCTCCATCTCTCTCTCTCTCTCTCTCTCACTCTCTCTCTCTCTCACACACTCACACAGCAACTGCCACTTTCACGACAGTCTGACAGTCAGAGATGTCGGTAATTACAGGACCAACTGTGTGTTTTGGAAACACACTAAGACCACACCCTGGGGCTGAGGCTCGGGGCTTTGCATTTAAGCTGGGGGTGAGGAGGTCAGCGTCGCACACACGCTGGACGGTCCGGCCGCACAGGTGGCAGGCGGGGGGCGGCCCCTAAGGGCAGCAACTTCAACGCGGGTGACCGGGAGGGCTGGGCGGCGCGCGGGGACGCGGGGAAGCCGGAGGCACAAGGGGGTGTGGATCCGGGAAGCCGCACAGGCGCGAGGGGGGACAGGGGGGTGCGGTGGGAGCTG